GGCGGGGTTAATATTCATACTGCATATGTCCAGTTTCCGCACGCAATAGCTCTCGCTCATTATTCGATGAGAGGCTACAGCCGAAACGAGGTGTCAATACAAACGTAGTATCAGTATAGAATGTCTACCTATAGAATGTCTGTCGATACGTATTTCTTTTTACGTGAACAGGAACCATAGTTTCCCAGTTAAGAAGACATTTTAAGAAGTCTTCCTTTATTGTATCAAACGTGCTGTCGAGTTTATAACAACATATTGATAACGTGTTTTGAATCGCATCGATATCAAAGACATAAAAGAAGAAAAATTTATTTTTTTAGACTGTTTCAAATGTGTTAATCGTTTATGCATAGTTTCTTCCTTTTCAAGTCATAGAGTTAGAATTAATGACATAAAACGTGACAAATTTACGACGGTGTGCATTTAAGTGTTAAGACGAATCTGGATTCGGTTTTGATAGTGTCGTTGCAAAAAATTTTTTTTGAACAGCATCCTCTTATATACCATCGACACGCAGGAAACAATAACTATGGCAAATAACTATGCGGTGAGTACAAATAAGACAGCTTACTATATCCAACGCAACATTGTAGCAATGCTCGTTCCTCGTTCATGTACATTCTAGAAAATTTTTCCTTATATATTTATTTTCATTCATACAGCTGTAAACTTCGCTTTGCGATTTCTAATATCTCGACTATTGCGCACCTAGGACACGTTTATTCTAACTCGTCTTGTACCATGACACGCAAAGCGGTACAAAAGAAGGCATTGGACACGAATTGAACCGATATCAATTTGTTATTTATTTATGGTGTTTTTAATTAACTTGTTAATCAGGGCAGATTAATTGCGTCGCTCGAATTGGTGTTTGAACATAATACAGTGGAGTCTCCCATTCGATTTAATTAAATTTAATTAATTAATCACTGTATTGACAGCGAGATCCAATAGCAAGCAAAATGAAATAAGTTATTATAATCATAGATGTTTTTATTCAGAGACAACCTGATTAACAGGTTAATTCTTTCATTATTACTTTGTGGCGCATGTAGATGCTTAATGTCAAATATAACTATGCAGATATGAATAGACAGGAAGTAAAAATTATTGTACAAATTATTACACACTAAGTCAGACATGTTTTTATATAAATGATTAATTAGTAACAAAAAATAAGTTTAGTTATTAGATTCAGAGAGGATATTAAAGATTCAAAAGGATTTTTCCAATTTGCATAAAATGATACACGTTTGAATATATATTAAATTTTTTGATTATAATTACAATTATTATAATTATGTTATAATAATTTTAAACGCCAAAAGGATTAACTTTAAGAAATTTGGGAAAAATAAAAATATTTGCCATTTTTTAATCAAAGTAGAAAATAAGCTTAGTAAATTTCATGGTAAACGTATCGTTAATAAGATGTATAAACATAAGATTATCTAATATAAAAACGTTGTGTTGTGATACTATATGAATGCGCAAAGAGCTAATGGTGCAAGAGATATAAAATTTAAGAATTCCTTAAGTTTACCTACCTGTCGTTTATTTACAATATGCTATGCGATCAAAAGCGGGTTCCTCTTCTACGTTACAATTGTTTCAAGAATTGCGCGTCGCATTTATGCAAAAATTTTGTTCCAACGAATGATTTCTAATGCATTTATTGTCACTAATAACGGAACAACGATATTACGAATGATGATCGATTTGCTAATGATTGTTATAATTATGAGTATCTTAGCGATGAGCATCGTGTGTTAATCATCATACTTCTTAAATATATTTATGTTGCATTCTTGTCTAGTATAGCACGCAAAGCTGTACAGAATGAAAGAGTATTCGACAAGTACTGAAACGGTAACATCAATCTCTTATCTATTTATTACGCTGGATCAAATTTTTAGTGATGACCGAAGGACTTGCAGCAATCAGAAATTGCTTCGAAAGTTAAGAAATAAAAAAAATTCATAAACAAATGTTAAAACATTTATAAACGATTTATAAGCAAATGTTCATATTTAGAAACGCAGAAGTCTGCTGCCACGAATATCAGTCGATTATCTAATCGAGACACATTTCAGAAAATCACGTGGTTTCTAATGATTTATAGTTATATTCTGTGATGCAAATCGTTCAGTCTATGTTCAACAATTAATTACAATTGACCTACCGTGCAATAGTAACCCAAAGAAAGCTCCGGTACTAGACAAGTGATGGAAAGTGTCACTGGCTTTTGATATACCAAGATATTCAGTAGATCCTTTTGCATTCTTACGGTCTCTTCGTACCACATTATATCGTACACGCTCCGTGAAACACTTAAGCTCTGCAAAGTACAGAAAATTAAAGATTGGCTACGATTAAAACAATATATAGTCGGCGAATGAATACCTTCTCTTTCATATAATCAGCTGGCCACGCGTACATGTAAACGTACATAAGTAGGGCAGCGCTGAGGCCTGTGAACGCCACTTTTACTATTAGCGGCGTATTCTATTTGTAAAATAAATTGTTAGTTCATTGTTTCCAGTAAACATTCACCTTTGATCACATTCGAGACCGTTGCTTCATTTAACATTTCTACACCGCAGTCAAAAATACTGACTGAAATCAATTTTACTTATCAATTTTATTTCAGTTCTTGGAATCAGATATTAGTGAAGTTAACACTAAAGTGAGATTCTCCAAAATATTTTATAAAGGTTGATTTTAATATTGTTTAAAAATTATAAATATATAATATATTATATAAAGATTGGTTTTAATATTGTTTAATATTGTTTAAAAATAAATAAATGTATGAAAAACTATGCTGCACAGTCATTGACGTATAAAAATAGCGAAATATACAGGTATCATGACAGTCTTTTTTAACAAAAATCATGTTAAAATATGCTTATTTTACTTCAACGCGTGTAGAATTACTACCAATTCTACTGGAAATGAAAGAAAATGTGCCATCGGTCTTGAATGTGTGCGCATCTTTATGCAATTTCGCATCTTTATAAATACAGTTAAAGAAATGTTACAATCTATTATTGTCGTTTTATATATTTTTACGTACTGTGTACATTCTTTACATTTTCGCGCTCTTAAATTCCTTATAAATGCAGTTTAATGATAAACATCACTTACCATGGCTATTGCTGTGGCAGCTAGAGTCATAACGAACATGCATGCCGTTATAACAAAAAGTACCATTAAACGAAAGCAACTGACCACCTCTTCCGCATATCTGAAAAAGGAGAAGGTCTCACAGTTGACGTTGTTTATTTCATCCGCGATTAAACGTTTATACTTACCTCTTTAAACGTAACTGTTTCTCAATGCAAATGCCCATCATGCCAATGTCCGTGCTCCTCTGCATTTCCACGGCCAAACATTCGAATCTCGCGGCTGTAAACCAGATTAAAAGCGCCCCGAACACGGACAAGCATACGTGCGCGCAACATTGGCAACAAGCGATACTTTGATGAGCGCGTATGATGACGCTCACTAACGTGCGATTAACGTCAAATGGATATTCTGCGTGTATTATAGAAGAAAGTGGAAAGATTATTGGCGCGTATATACATATTAACACCATCGAATAAGTACCAGCAATGTAACTTCCGTAAAAGACATTACACCTCGCCAGATACGTGTAAAAGATTT